ATTTTTGCTATAGAAAATTATAAAAGCGTCTAAATGACCAAATGAATTTGTCCCAAACGGGCCGCAGATAACTGTGACATGTCACTAGTTGGGGTGCGTCCGACATGACATATTCGGCTTATTCATCACATCTCATACATCGCTAGTGAAATATACCTATTGCTTCAGTTGATTACCCGCGTGTATACGCCCTAACAGCGGGATACTTATGAAATGTAATTAGTTTAGAAAACTGTTGTTTTCCTATTTTAAATCCTTTTCATTACAGACGGTTAAAATATTAAACTAACTTTTATCCGCGACTTTGAAATTTATGAACCACTGATAGTGGCTCCTTTAGATAAGACTTAATAAAATTTCTATAAAACCAATCTATATTTTTTTAGGTTAAAAAAGAATTTTCAATTCATAAATGACGGAGTTCTCAAGTAACATAACTTAAGAAAATATAACCGAATCGTGAACCTCCATTTTTCGAAGTTAGTTAAAAATAAAGTGTAAATAAATAACTAAACACTTCTAAATACTTAACAAATACGTTCCTCTCACTTCGCGAAAGAATTATCTCCAACTTTAGAAGCAACACTGCCTTTTAATTTCAAAATTGCCTATAAAATGGCAAAACTTCGGGATCCCTTTAAGGAGCTGTCACTTGGCAACGGGACAGGAGATTAAGAAGTTATATAAAAATACCTCTCGCTTATGCTAATAGGAAAAGTTGGCTTGTCACCGAAACTTGGTTTCTTTTAATTTGGCACATCATTCTCGCTTTATTATGTTAGGTGTTCCAATTCTATTTTTTTGTCATAATATTATATATATATATATATATAAATTTATTAATATTGTGATCATCGGTGGTTTTACCTACTAGTGATGCGCGGCTTTACTAATTCGACTACCAATTATTCGACTTAGCAAATCATTCTGATTGATCTAATGATTTTCAAATCATCCGACTACATTTGATGTACGACTCGACACCAATATAGCCGAGTCGACGCAATCGTTGAAATGTCTTATTTCTTACTAATAGGCAGGAGTGTTGCCTATTAGTAAGAGTAAAAGTAAGTAGTTAAATTCAGAAAGTAAATAAGTAAAGTTTTAGTCAAATTTTATTTATATCAAATTGCAATAGTATTTGCTTGCAATTTTTTTTTGTAGGTTATTATTACTAACATATTGAATATAGGAGTAGCGAATGCAGGGAATTTTAGCAATTACTTGCTAAATTTGTATATCTTTATAATACAATAAACTTATTTAAACTTTATTACTTAGCATTAAAAACTATTTTAATAACAATAAAATCATGAAAGTTATAATGAACGAGAAAATCTAATTTCCTAGTCAACTGTAGCGTAAAAAGTCACAAAGTTGCTGACTCAGCACAACCGGCGTCTCCTGCAAACCAACTTTGCACCTAATTAATAAAAACCCAGCGGACAGCTACATTTTCTTCTGTTATTTCTATTAAACACTAGTTTTAATGAGTGCAACTCGGCCCTCAGTGTTTTCGGAGATTTGCTTCGTTTGAGCTTTTAGTTAATTAAATTAACTAAAATTTTGGTTGCCAACAAATAAATAGTGTTTTTGATGTTTACCATAAATTTATCTCTCTCTTTATTACTTTATGTTAATCTTTTATCTATTATAGTTTTTATAAATTTAATGCTTGTCTACTTTTGAACTAAATTTTAATATCGAGATAATGAAATCTATTATGAAAATAAAAGAATAAATATTGACAATATCAACTTTTGTTTTTTTTTTTCTGTGAGGCACAGTCTTAAATTATGTCACAGTTGTAGATTGAAGATAAATTTATTATCACAATATTTCTGTATGAGTTAATTCAATTTTATAATAGCATTTGTTATGATTTCATCTAAAAAACTTCAACAACAAGAAAATCTTGTTTATTTCCCATTAGTTCAATCGTAGACAAAGCAACCATGAGACGGTCATTACAAACGACATAAAACCGCTAACAAAATAAAACAAAACACTGTGTGTATCCTGCGAAATTATTTCGCCTTATTAGATACTTCTCATGGTACTTAATGGGCCAGAAAAGGGCAGAAGAAATTTATGGCATAGCGATAAATCCAAAGCAATTGGGATACACGCCCTGGCACTTAGTATGAATTGGGGTTTTTGTGTACGGGAATAATAATATTAGAGTACTTATTCACATGTCTTCTAACTATAAGTAATATTATTATTGAATTATAGAACAAGCACTTACGATTAATTATTGCTTGATAAGAATAGAATAGAATAGAATATAAATGTTGCCAGAAAAATACATACTTATAACAGAAAATACAGAAATACTACATATAAGAAGTGTCTCATTATAGGCAAAAAGAATTAGCTCAGTTGATGATCTTACCTTATTTTCGCATATGGGGTCAGCTAAGCCGTTGCACGTCGACCCATAGGAATGTTTTGTGCTTCCTCCTACCTTAAACCATCATTTTATAGATTCTATGTGTTACCATAACGATATCCTGCGGTTTAAGATATTTGTAATCTCCTAGCTCTGGATAAGCTGTTTCCAATAGACTCATACGCATACTTGCCAACGAATCGCAGTTGCACATCAAGTGTTTCATGGATTCCGATTTCCCACTGCACAGTCTGCACAGTGTGTCCGAAGATAGACCCATCTTTTATAGTATATGCCTTACTGGCATATGCCCAGTTAGGGCACCAATAATGAGTCTTGCCTGTTGTCTGCCACCGCTGTAGATGAGATTATCGCATTCCTCAGCATTTACAAAATTTTTAGTATGCCTAAGACCTTTTAAAGTCCTCCATTGCTTTTGCTGTTTTTTTCTCACATACTTCTTAAGGGCAAAAATGCTGCAGCTGATGATGATGCAGAGTGTCCCAGTACAATGTGTATAGATGCACAACGCTGGTTTTTAGCTAGTCCCTCTCTTAACATAATACAAGAAAAATACAAATGGGTACAACAATTGCACGTTACAAAAATATTCATTTATTTATTTTTTATTGCACAATAAAACTTCGTACAAATGGCGAGCTTAATGCCATATGGTATTCCCTACCAGCTAACTATGAGGTAAAAACAGAAAGCGTATGAAAAGCAGATGTGGTGAAAAATATGTGACCTAATTATAATAATCATACATAATACATACAAAGGCAGATGTAATACATAAACATTATATATACTCTTAATATATATGAATATGCCCTTTATAAGATGAAAACTGCAATGCAGTAAGAACATAGTTTGTTTATTAAGAGGTTTAATTAGTACCAATATAGCACTGCACATACTGGGTTAATGTGTCGCCCCACCACTTCTACCTTCACTTTCTTTGTTTGTTATTTAGTATAAAAGATCAAATAGCTTCAATATCTATTCCACAATATATGATCCTGTACCTACAATACTTTATAGATACATTTTGATTATCAAAAAATCAATACCTTTACTTTACTGAATTAGGTCCTATTTTACAGAAGTGCATATCACTGGTTATTTGATTAGAATTATTTTGTTTAATTCCACTATAATTTGTATACATACATGTTTCTGCTAAAAATGCCAAAGATTGACTATCATTGTTATTAACAGAAGTTCTACAACCTTCAATACTAGCCACCACTCTCTGTCACTCCGTCCATTCACATTTCGCGACCCAATTTCCACTTCTAAATGAAAAATCTTCAGTCAGTCCTTAAAAGTCATTAGTAGATTGTTGCTCAGAGCCTAGTGTTGACTGTTCGACATCCAAATTGCGAATTTGAATGAAGACTTTGTACAAAAGTCGTTTGCTTGGGTACGTCTGCCCCATTCGTGTTTCAACCGTGAAGCAGTTGTGTTTGCATGGCTGTGTTTCAGTTTGAAGGGTGGGATATGGCAGTGAATTTACAGGGTACAGAGGAATAACACCTGAGTCCTCAGGAATGGCAACGCATGGGGGGTATCATGGGCGAAACAGTATACTCTGTTATGTCCATGGTACTGTTAATGTCTATAGGCAACGGTTACCACTTTCCATCAGGTGGACCGTCAGTTTGTTTGCCATTCTCAGTTGTGTAAAAAAAAAAGAATATAGACCTCCCACTTGGAGGATTTTCCCAGCAGTTGCCATCAGGCTTTGGTGATACTTTAAGATGGACACTGCTACCCATCATTCAACCATTAAGGTCCCTTAGTCAATTTAAAATGCGTAATAGTGTACTTACAAAAAGATTTGGCAGCAAACAGTTTTTTGTTCTGCAAATTTAAATAATCACAATATTGGAATTAGTAAGTAAATTCTATTGATTTCCAAAAATATATACCCAAAATTAGTCAAAGTATCGCGTAATAAATACAGTTCTCCCCACAGAAGCAAAGAAAGAACAATACTTATTCAGACATTTACATCGGAAATACACTAGCCGACCACGGGACATTCGGTCATCGTGTTCGCAATATAGTGGAGTATGGAGAATTTATTGGGTCCTCGATGGGATCCCATAAATCAGTAGGGTATGACTTAACATACATTCAAGCAGTTACGGAGACCGTTTGCTTGGGAATAGGTGACTTTTCTTTGAATTGTAGTTGGAATTCAAATTGTTGCAATCTAATTTTATGTTTTTTAAATATTTTTAATTTGGTTTGCATAAATATGTTCAATAGTTAATAACTTTGAAAATTTTCAATCATACAATAAATTATTGGAATATGTTTTCCATATTTATTTCTGATGATCGAATCAAATCACAATCAGATTAAATAGACGTAAAAAGTTATCATAGGCTAAGGATAGTACCTATGGTTTTTTCCTCAGATGAGTTGGGATTTATATACTTTTTTTTTTTTTTTTATACAAGATGACAATTTTTTATACAAGACGAGATGATTGTTTTCAACCGACTTCAAAAAGAGTGAGGTTTTCAATCCTGTTGTATTTTTTATATTTCTCGCCTCATAACTCTATAGTTCTAATCTGATTTAGAAAATTCTTTTTTCATCTAAAAGCCTATTCTTACTTCTAGAGTTTTTTTATATAATTATAATATCTATTTGAAATCGATTTCTTTTCGATACCCATTCGATCATGTCATAAATTAACTTACTGGTTAGAACTCGAGCCGTAATATCTAGACGAACAAGTGTAATAAAATACTCTGTCAAAATGTCAGTCAAAAATCCAATGTGAATTTTATTTGACGATAAAAATATTCAGACGAATATGAATTCCAAGTTTTTTGTTACGTTCGCATTTTTTCTGACCAATTTTAAACTTTGCCAAAGTAAAAGATATGATAACTTTACTCTGTTCGGAGTTACACCGATTGAAGTTGATCATTTGAAGTTTCTGCAGAATTTGGAAAAAAAAAAGTACATAGACATGATCTTCTGGAGGAGACCTATTAAACTATATTATGACGTGCAGTTTATAGTAAATCCAACAGATAAGGATCTGTTTAAAGAGAGAGCAGCGCATTTTAGAATGAAGGCAGAGATGTTAATACCCGATATTCAACAGTAAGTGTTAATTTAATGTAATAACTACCGCTTTACATTACATGTAATTAGATCGAGAAAGCTCGACTAGTTTCGGTATAATTGTTCCCGAAACTAGTCGTCACAGCCAATTTTAAAATTCCTGAATTCAATTTTAGGGCTTTTGACAAACAAACAATACAAAGATACCAACGTTTGAAAGTCGAGTCTTTTTCCTTCAATTTTTATCATTATTTAGAAGATATTTATCAATGGCTAACTGACATAGCATTGAAATTTCCGAACATAACCGAATTGTTCAATATTGGCAAATCTGCCGAAGGGAGAGAAATATATGTTCTTGAGATTAAAAGACCAGGAGCGAATGGGACGGCTATAGTTGAAGGTGGAATACATGGAAACGAATGGATCTCAATCGAATTTGTAACTTATCTAGCGCACCAATTAGTCTACAGCAATGAAACAGGGAACGGTCGGCTGTCAGATGTAGCATACAAATATAATTGGTTTCTAATACCGATTGTAAATCCGGATGGTTATGATTTTACTCAAAAAGTTGTAAGTACTAAAACGTTTTTACACTCAATTATTGTAAATAACTAACCAACCCATTTGGCCAGCGTAGTAAGCTTCCCAATGAAAAGAACCAATAATCAAATAATAAAACGGCTCTCAGTGCAAAAAGCGGAGAATTACTTATGTTGGAAGGCATTGGAGAAGGCTTATAGCCAGCAGTGGATAAATACAGGCTGAAATGATGATGATGTCAAATAAAGAATTACATCAGTCTCAGCATTTATGATATAATATAATTTTTGTACCAGAGAACGAATATGTACCTTTCAAAACACATCATTCCCAGATTTAAGGCGTTATTGAAAAGTTTAATTTCTACATAAGTATAATTAAGAATCAAACTTGCTTGTTCATATTATGTGCGTAAATAAAGGAGAAAATGGTCCTAAGAATGTTAGCCCTCGAAAGATTTCTGTTTTTACCTAATAGTTAGCCAGTAGAGAATGTCATACGGCAACAAGCTCGCCATTTGTACAAATTTTATTGTGCTATCAAGAATAAATAATTAAATAATGAATCAAGTTTAAATAATACACAAATAATTAGCTATATATATAATAATAATAACTGTGTCCTAGACTGGTATGCACAGAATGTTTTTATAATCTTAGAGAGTATGTGTGAATTATAATAATTATGTACTTGGAGTAAGGAGAATGTGACCTTTGTAAGGTCATGTTCAGAGTTCAATTAATTAACTATAATCAATGTACTAATTACGTCCTTTATGACTGTCTGGAGAAAATATTTGTAAATATGATAAGTATGCTGTGTGGTCCCAGCATAAAATGGGCTACCCCTTCCTTTCTCGTTAGTATCGTAAGAGGCGGCTAAGGAAACTTAACGGTCAAAGAATTGGGAGCAGCATCCTTCTTAAAACCTCACCAAAAACCTAACTGCAATTATTGGCAAAACCTCTTTCTACGGAGGAAGCCTATGTTCAGCAATGAACAATTAATGACTGTTATAATAATAATAAAATAAATGTACTTGAAATAAAGGAAATATGACCTTCATAAGGTCATGTTCAAGATTCAATTAAATTAACTATAATAAATATAAGTATTACGTTGGTACATGCTAATGTCTTTAACAGATCGTTAGAAGGTCAATTTCATATAAACAAGCTTGAATTATTTTATTTTATTTGCGAATAGTTATAAAAATATAAATTTAGACGAAAGAGCCGTTGCGTTGATCCACTTGAAAATTTGAAAATCGTCCGTTGACACATACAGCAAAGTTTTGTTCCTTTTTTTTTAAGTACGTTTGTTTCGTTGTGGAACAGGCTAAGGTCAGAGACCATGCTGCCTAGTCTTCAATATGATAATTTGTCTGGAATCAGTTTTGTTCCCTTTTCGTAATGTAGATGGACCATTCCTGGGGCACATCCGGTGTTGCTATCATTCGCTTCTTATTATACGCGACATATGTCCTTGATAATTGTGTGATGGAAAGATTATAAATATGATAAGCATGCCCTTAACCTTCATAAGGTCATATTGAGTCGAGTTCAAAGTCGATTTAGTATTTATAATAATTATATCGTTGACGTTATTAGGTTACATACTGAGTAAATTTCCAAATTCAATTAAATCTCTAAAACACGTTGAGTGAACTAAATTAATATTCACATGTCATAGCAAGAGTTTCTCCTGATGAGTTATTTTTATTCAATACCAAGAATATACTTGGCAGTGCTCATGTAAATAAAAAAAAATAAACATAACAATATATGGCCGTATATAACCCGGCATAGAATGGGCCATCCCTTCCTTTCCCGTAGGTATCGCAAGAGGCGACTAAGGAGGGCGAGGGATTGGCAGCAGCGTCTGTCTTAAAACATGTTTAAATGCCTAACTGCGGTTGTCAACTCGCCTGCCAAGCGTGGCAACTACTGGCACAACTCCTCATATGGGAATGGCTTATATCCAGCAGTGATGAACGGCTGAATTAATAAATTATAAAAAAATATATATATATATATATATATATATATATATATATATATATATATATATATATATATATATATATATATATATATATATATATATATATATATATATCCAACTCTGGTCTTACAGGCATTCATAACTATCAGATGAGTTGTCTGCTTATTTTTCACCATAGTAGCATAAAATAAAACAGTATCTATTCACTTGTCACTAGACAAGGGTAATGTCAGTGTTGCTACAATATCTATGTATATATGAATTTCGAGTTTTGCCAGTAGTTGCCACGCTTGGCTGGCGGATTGGTAATCGCAGTTAGGCTTTGAAGATGTTTTAAGAGGGACGCTGCTGTTCATCTCACGCCCTCCCTTCTCGATTCTTACGACACTCATGAGAAAGGACGGGGTGGCCTATTCTACGCTGGGACCACACGGCTGTAAGTAATGCTAATAAATTAATTATTAATCTATCTAGATATTGGTATATATTATCCACCCTTTACTTGTGTGTTAAATTTCATACAAGAATCCGTTCAGTTGTTTGAAGATTATTGTATGGCAACATTTAAGTCCTCCGAAATGACTATAGACAATGGCTACCACGTTCTGTTTTTTAAAATTAAATTTCAAAAAACGGCTCTGGTTAATAGTTGGCTCTAAAATTATTATTTTTATTTATTTATTTCGTAACTATTGTTTTATAACAATGAAACGATGTTTTAATGAATTTTTTATTACATTTCAGGATCGACTGTGGAAAAAAAATAGACGTAATGTGGTTGGAGTATTTGGCGTTGATTTAAACAGGAATTTCGACTACAGTTTTGGAAGTAAATAAATATTTTTACAGTATAAAGACTTTGTTATAGTAGTTACATATAGTTAACTTTAAACTTTCTCGTTGTTGATAAATATTTTAAATACACTTTTGGGACTTAACAATTAAAAATTTGCAGGTAAATAGTACCTGCATAGCTGCTTCTTTGTAACCGACGTTTTGACGTGGATTGTTTCACGTCAAAACGTTAAGGTTACGGCAGGACTGAAGTGAGTAGCGTCTTAGTTGCTACCAATACCTGCAAATTTTTTTATTACCTTTTGATTACTGATAGTGTATTTAAAATAAGGATTCATGTCCATTCGTTTTAAAGTAAGTAAAAATTCTGTTATTTTTAATTTTTTTATGGGATGATAATAGAATGGCAACCCAGTCCGCTAACAGTATATACTGCCGGGGCACCAGTGAGGGATGCCAACTGAGAATGGAATGAGGCCAGTTAGCCCATCGTGATGAATATACCTGGAATTCAGCACGATGGTTTCCAGGGGCATCACGTGGAAATCGTCTGGGCAGAGTATACTGCTAACAATGGGGTTGATAGTCTGCATTACTAACAATCCCCTTTGCTTTTTCTTTCCCATTGGCTGTCAGTTTTTCAAGCTATGTGACCAGCCCATTGCCACATTAACTTACGTATCCTTGAATTTATATTAATTAGTCTTATTTATTCAGCGTACTCTGCCAGTAACAGTCCTAACGATGAAGGGTACTGCGGCACCTCGCCTTTCTCTGAACCCGAGACGAAGGCGTTGGCAGATTTTATTACTGCCAAAAAGGAAAACCTCAAGTTTTACTTCTCTATCCATGGTTATGGCCAGAAGATTGTAATACCTTATTCTGATAGAATAAAACATGTAGATAATTATAATGAACTGGTGAGTTTAAAATTTTTTTTTTATAACACTGGTGTAACAAACAAGCATACAGCCCACCTGATGGTAAGCGGTTATCGTAGCCTATTAGCGCCTGCAATACCAGACGTATTACGCGCGCGTTGCCGACCCTGAAGAAACCTCTTTACCCTCTTTTTGAAGAACTCCATGCTGTAGTCTCTTGGGAAAACTTCGACAGGGAGCTCATTCCATAACCTGAGTGTTCGTGGGAGAAAACATCGCTGAAACCGCATTGTACGCGACCATTTGGGCTGTAGGTATGAGGGTGAACTCCCTGTCGATGGAGTCAATATTGAGTACATACAATGTTAATTTTACATACCTATACCGTTTAGTTAATTTAGTACTAAAATTTTTGTATCTATGTAAATAATTTTTGTTTTACGAGTGTATGCGTTTTTTGAATGGTAAATCCGTTTACACTTGCGCTACAGAATGTATTGCTGTTATGGCCGTTAACAATATTTTTCATCACTAAAAATATCTATATCTCCAATAAAAATCAATTACTAAATGTATGTAAACTGATCCCCTTAGAATGGATTCACCTAATTGACTATTTTTTTTTATGTTTGCGACGCCCACGGGAAAGGGTGTTCCCTTCTATGCCGGGACCTAACCGGCGATTTATCATATTGCATTACGAAAGAGTATATAAACTTAAAAAAAAATAGAAAAATAACTTTTACTCTGCTGACGAATATAAATATTCATTTGCGATTTAAATTTATATTACATTTTATTTTCAGGAAAATTACGGGAAACAAGCGATAGTGAAAATGTATAAATTATTTGGCACCAAATATGACGTTGGTACATTCTACGACACTTTAGGTAAGTATACTTCACATTTCTACACGAATTCATCACCGTCATCATCATCATATCACCTATTCACTGTCTACTGCTGAGTATAGGCCTGCACTGCTAAACAATAGCGGCCACGCTTGGCAAGCAAATTGGCAAACCCAGTCAGGCTTTGATAATGTTCTAACAGGGACGCTGCTGCCTATCCCTTGACGATTAAGTTCCTTTAGATGCCTCTTATGACACCCACGGGAAAAGAAGGGGTGGTTTAGTCTATGCCGGGATCATACGGCAACCTATACGAAATATTACTATATAATTCTACCTATTTGTATATAAATAAATCAATTACCATCATCTTCCAAATCTTATATAAATTTCGGGGTCGACGTAATATGTTTTTATCCATATTACCTAAGGTTTTGGCTTTTAGTTTTACGACCGACCACCTGCCTGACTGTATACTCATGTATACAATATAGAGGGAGACTTTGTACAAAAGTCGATTGCTTGGGTACCTCTATCCCATTCGTGTTTCAACCGTGAAGCAGTTGTTTGCATGGCTGTGTTTCGGTTTGAAGTGTGGGATATGGCGTGAATTTACTGGGTACAGAGGAATAACACCTGAGTCCTCAGGAATAGCAACGCATGGGAGGTATCATGGACGAAACAGTATACTCTGTTATTTCCATGGTACTGGTCATGTCTATAGGCGACGGTTACCACTTTCCATCAGGTGGGCCGTCAGCTTGTTTGCCATTCTAAGTTGTATAAAAAAAATACTGGTATAAATAAACATATCTATTAAATAATTAGTGGCTTCTACCGATGTCTACTTGTTGTATAATAGAATAAAATATACAGTTATAATTATATGTAATCACAGGCCTTCGACTTTCTGGAAATAGCGCTAGTTGGGTGAAGAAAACTTTCAACGTTAAGTAAGTACTCTCAAATTTAACTGAAGCTTGAATTTCAGACAGACCAACCCTGTGATAAAGGCATAATGCACCTTATGAAACGAAGTGAAAACATTTTATCAATGTATAGCTGACGTACAAGTAGGCTTCAACTGGCGAAAATCCAGTTATTTTGATTTAAAACTAAACTACTGAATCGGTTTTGATGAAATTTCTATAGGTTTATTAATGACAGAATTATGACGTAACAAACATACAAAATACACACGAATTGTGAACGTCCTTTATTCTTTGTTGTTTTGTGAATTATGTATTTTCGTTTTAGTATAAATCAAAAATAATATAAGATATTAAAACGTACAAACGCTGCCCTTTCATGTAACATTTCATTTGAATTAGGCTCATTTAAAAAAAAATTAATGTCTATTTTGTACCCCTTATCAAATAGCTTTTGTCAATTATTTTCTTTACAAAAAACAAAAAAAAAAAGATTGCGTAATAGTATTTAAAACTATTCCGAATTTCAGTTAGCGTAGCAACTGCTGAGTTCTAGCGATGTAACAAATGCTTGGACGGACAAAGTCGCACAATAAGTGCTCCTTTGTACCTTCTTGTTATAAAACTTTAAAAAGAAAAAAATCCTGCCATATTAATAACGAAAACTCTTCAATTAAAATTATTATTGGTCCAATTTTCTTTGCTAGCGACGTAGAAAAAGTTGAAGGGGAAATTGATCCTTTTGCGGGACACACGCCCGCATCTCCCGACTCCAAGGGGTAGAGCGCTATTTCCAATTCCAGCTCATCTAATATGAATGAAATCTCTGAGTGCAGTGTTAAATATTTTAAAAGAGAAAAAAAAAACGGTACAAAAGCAGTTAGATATGCAGTGATTGAAAATTAAAGGCCTCTGAAACTTTTAAAAAATTCTCTAGAAAAAGTATTATTTCATATTTGGGCGTATTTATGATTTACCACATTAATAATACTTGGGTATAGCAACCCATGGTTGCCATAGGTATCGCGATGTATTCTATGATGTTCATGATATTTATCATATTTATACATACTCATTACTAATTTCTTGCTCGCTACTTTTTTCGCGTAGATCTCAGTAGTAGGAAAACCAATGTCCATGTCCACTTCTAGATAACATATCGAGATAAAATATACTCTAGAGTTTAAATTAAGCCCTCCGGAATAAAATTTTGGAAATCGCATCTACTTTGGTGCAGTAGGTTTTGCGTGAAGCCGGAACAAACATACACGCAGTACAGATATATGAGTATATGTAATATAATTCTAGTTTATAATAAGATAACCGTTTCTAAGATACAGTTACCACATTTTGTTAAGTAGACTGTCAGCTTGTTTACTATTCTAAATATCACAAAAAATAAAAAAGTATTGACACAATATCACGTGATTTTATCGTTATATCGATTGTATCGATAGAGTTAAAGTTATTAAAACCTAACGATAAATTTATTGATAAAATGTTATGTAAAATATGTTTCGTCACATCAAATGGCATGCAAATGTTAATCATTGAATTTACATATACATATATATATATATATATATATATATATATATATATATATATATATATATATATATATATATATATATATATATTATATTTATAAATGATCTTATGACCAATGTTTCTGACAAATAAATTTCATTTCATTTGTTTTTATGAATTTGAACACTTAAGAAACATGAGTTCAAAAACGACCAAAAAATTTTTAGTCTTTTGCGTATAAAATGATCAAAATTCTGGTGCGCTGTATTAATGTAAAATTGTAGAAAGAGTATGCCAGAACTATACTCAATATATCTATGGGTGCCCAAATTTAGACATTTCTCGTCCCATGTTTCTTAATAAATAAAAATTCAGTTATCATCCTTAATCTATGCATTGAAAGAATCTGTAATTATTCTGATTTCGATATATCCATAGATCAATATTTTAGCTTCTGTTCTCTTATTTTGTTCTATTTTGGCTCTTGTTCTTATTTCTTAGCCATGTTCTGTTCTCAGTGTAAATCCAGTAAAAGTTTGAAGCGATCAACAAAATATAATTAATTAATATATTTCTTTAATATTTTAGCTTTTGTTCTCCTATATTGTTTTGTTTTTGCTTCTATTCTCAGCTCTTAGTCATATTCTGTTCTCAATCTAAATCTACTAGAAGTTTGTATCTAAATAGATATGTTTCTTCCAGACATGTCTTCACGCTCTTACTACGGGACAATGGAACTTATGGCTACGCACTTCCTCCAGAACAGATACTGCCAACCTGTAAGGAGGCTGTGGTCGGCATGGTTGAATTAATGACAGCCCGACCAAAACGCGTACGAGCTAACCTCTTCAATTCGGCAACTGTTGATGAAGTCTCAAGTAATCTACTATTTATTGTTCTTATTTCAAATTATATTTTTTTATAATTTAATGTTATGTTTTTTTTTTTATAATTTATACCTCAAACAATCAATCATTTATTTTCTAATCATCATCATCATATCAGTTGTTAACTATCTACTGTTGAACATAGGCCTCCCTGTACTCCCTGTAATGCAATGTATTGCATTTGAGATTGTCGCCCTAACTAGTGCATGGTCATCCTACACTGCATTTGTTTGTACGGAATCGCCACTGAAATACCTTTCTTCTCCATCGTTTGTCGATTCTTCGAGCTATGTAACTAACCCTTTACTAGTTCAGCTTGTTTATTCTCAACAGGTATACCTGTTAAAGTTTATCATCCAAGAATTAAATTCATAAAGTTAGGTAATGCCATTTAAACTATTAATTTTTAAATAACTAGTGATTCGAAATGACATCCCACGAGTTTTTTTTATACAACTTAGAATGGCAAACAAGCTGACGGCCCACCTGATGGAAAGTGGTAACCGTCACCTATAGACATGAGCAGTATCATTGACATGACAGAGTATACTCTTTCGCCAATGATACCCCCCATGCGTTGCCATTCCTTAAAACTCAGATTTTATTCCTCTGTACCCAGTAAATTCACGCCATATCCCACCCTTCAAACCGAAACACAGCCATGCAAACACAAGTGCTTCACGGTTGAAACACAAATGGGACAGAGGTACCCAAGCAATCGACTATTGTACAAAGTCTCCCTCTGGTGATATGGAATAAAATTTTTAAAAATAATATATAGCCTATAAAATATATATGTTACTCGCTGATAATAAACATTTCTATAGGTGAAAAAGGATTTTTAAAGATACTACGCCGACATACACAGACCATCAGTGCATGTCGCCTTCAAACCCAGGGACCTGGAGGTTGTTGCCTCCGGAGTTGAAGCCAGGATAGTGGGGTACGCCCCGAGACCCCTACCTCGCCCGCCCACGCCATCTGGCGGGCAAAGAGACGCTTTGTTGTTTTTGTTATTGGATTTTTAAAATCGGTTAAGTAGTTTTTGAGTTTATCAATAACAAACAAAGAAACAAATCTTTCCTTTTTATACTCAATATATTGGCATTTATTATTATTATTATACCAGCCTTTACTTGTCCACTGCTAAACATAGGCCTCCTCATTTTTTGCCAATAGTCGCCACGCTTGGCAGCCGCAATTAGGCTTTAGTGATGTTTTAAGGGGAACGCTGCTGCCCATCCTCGACCATCTTATAGTCCATATTAGTATAGATATAGATTATTACGACTAGTGTGTTCTGTATAATGTAAGACATTCTAGATCCTATTAATTTAAACTTTGATCTAATGACAGTCAAAATATGGATATAGGAGCTAACCTCTTCGAGGATCGAGAGTGCTATTCTTAGTCTATTCCTCTTCAACTTAATTTGAACGAATAATGTAAGCATAATGCTTTTGATGGTAATAACAAAAATCTTTGTTTTAATCAAATATTTCCTTGTTCTTTGATTTTGATGAGGCAAATAAGTAGTCATCTAAAAATAAAAACGTACCACAAAGAAATATATTCGATCTTGCTCACACTTCCAAGTTTTGCTTATAATGGTGTCTCGTTCTAGCTATTATAATCAATGCGTTTTATATCTATAAGGAACACAGATACTATCCTTAATCTATGCAATTTTATTGCATTAATATCTACTTAAATTATCTATGACATTCAGATAAGCCTGGATAAGCCTTATTTCATAGATTATCTATAATACTGGGCATTATCTTTCTAGGAGTTATTTAGAAAATATCTAAAAATACATAATACAATAAAATTTATCTGAAAGATTTATTCGTTTTGAAGGGAAAGCTGAGGTTAATACAATTGGAACTGTCAATGATTATAACTAGAAAATAGTTTTATTACCTACTGCAAATGTTTTCCTTTCCGTCAAACCAGCAATTATCAATTTTGAAGTAAGCAAAAATGTGAAATCTCTTAGGCTTATCAAACAATGTATTTTCTAAATCTCCAATTTTAATATCGATGAAAATGATGATACTGAGGTTAACACTTATATTAATAATGATATTACTGCAAACAAAAAAATGTTTGTCAAAAAAATATGACAATTACACGTTATATCGGGCGATACCAGTGGACGAGAGACATTTGAATTTTTTCACGAATTTGAGTGAAACTTATAATGTAAATTTTTGGAGAAATCCTGGACTAGTTTACAGACCTGTGGAGTTTATAATCGCTCCTGAAGACATAAAGGCATTTTCGAGAGAAGTTAATGCATCTGGTATATATTTGACTACAATCATTCCGGATGTACAAAGGTAAATGGATCTATTATAAATCTATTATTTTGTACATTATCTAAAATTATGTACAATTTTGTCTATCTATAAGATCGTCCACTGTGATAAAAATTATAATATATCATAATTACTATCAATAATATTATTACATAAAAATATATTAGGCTACGATAGCCTAATAGCCTAAAATCCGTATAGTATCAGAGTAAAATTACTTTTTCCACTATTTTTATCTTTAAACTAAGAATAAAATGAAAAGAACAGTAATTATAAAGGCCGTATATTTTTTTAGTTTTTTTTAATAATAATAGATGCCGTTCGTCTCACTGATTAGCTTTCAAAAGTTTTAACTTTTAATATTTAACAACAAATACCTATCCTAAATTTCCTAACAAATAAAGGAAATCGAAATATTATAATACTTTATTTTCCTTCTATGCTTATATCACTTTTATAAAATTACCTCATCAGTTGGATGTTAATGGATTATTAAAGTAGTGATTAGAATGAACATACATATATTTTAATTGTACGTTATTTATTCTAATAGAAAGCTAGTTGGTTGCAGAAACACATGTGTACGCTATGATATGTCGATGATTATGTAGACTCTCCTATTTGCATTTACTGTCTCCATATTTTTCTTCTAGAGCTTTTGATACGCAAATAGTGAAACCATATATCAGAAGAAACACGGAATCATTTGATTGGCAAGGTTTTTACCGATTAAATGATATTTATAATTGGCTAATTGATCTTAGCAAGTTATATCCGGCAGAGGTGCAATTGCAAAGTATAGGACGAACTTATGAAAATCGAGATATACTAACAGTAAGAATAGTATTGAAAGGGAGTAAAATGAGGTAAGTATAAGTATAAGTCTTTATGCCAAGATACTTGTGGAATAAAATCAAGAACAAAGTGCCAAAGATTTCGAATTCATAACTTATCTCACCGCACCGCGTTGTTTTCGGAATCGCTTGACTATATTCTCAGATTGCATATACTCTGTCTAATCTTTGCAGATTAGTTTTAAGCCTCCTTTTTCACTAGAAACAATCTCTATGGTTTCATAAATCTGGAATTCTACAAAATAATACGTAATTCTATAAGAATTACGTATTATTTTGTAGAATTCCATAATTATCACTGATAATTTTATTTAATTTCAATACTATTTTTTTATGGTGAAGACTGCCCACTATTGGTATGAGGTTCTATGGCCTTCCTTATAAGTTATCTTTCTTTGACTATAATTAAATCTAAATTTAAACCTGTATTTTGACACTTTTAAACGGGGCATCATTAGATAATCAATTAGTTCTTGAAAGCCCAGAGCTGAACGTTGTCGCACTTTGAGTGCCTCCAATTTTAACTTTATAATTGTACATGTCTTTTTAATTAAGAAAGGTTGAAGATTATTTGCTGTTTTTGATTCAACTTTTTGTAGACATTATATTCAGCATCACTGGTAAAGTATTTTCCTTAGAAAAATATTCAAGATTTTGGTTTTGGCAAATATTAGCAACTATAAGCACTATATGTAACGAGATCCGAATTAGGATTCTCAGTCGACCAAATTTAGGAAATAAACTTTTCACGCGTCTTGATGTTCTCCTAGTGACTAGTTGACTAGACGACATCCTAGCTCAAGGACCAAAAGATTAGTGTGATTATGTGTCACTTATTTCTATTTTTATTATTTCGTATATTTTAATCAACTAGATAGAGCAACAACTTCAAATGCTCTGCAAGAAGTCAGTAGATAGAAGTGGCTCGGGTCCATTTAATATAGCAATTTATGAGGAGGCCTATGTTCAGCAGTAGACAGTTTACGGTTGACATCATAATGTCATCATGATAATGAAGTTTCTTATCAACCTACACTTAGTACTTAATTAGAAACAAGTTTATGAGTCTGCTTTAAATAAATATGTGCGACATTATTTTAGATCAAGAGTAATCATTGAAGGTGGGATTCATGCTAGAGAATGGATATCGCCAGCGTTTGTCACATATTTAATTAACGAGATTATACATTCACCATATTCAAATAACGAAGAACTGAAGAATATAGCTATGACTTATGAATGGTATTTCATACCAGTGGTAAACCCTGACGGATATGAATATAGCCATAGGGAGGTTTGTTAAAGGATTTACTAGACAAATAAATCCTAAAAAAAATAATCCTAATCTAAAATAAATCCTAAAAAAACCCGCAGCATTGCCCCGGAATTTTATGTATCGTAAGATATTGCACAAACTGATGATTCATCTGATGGAAAGTAGAATCTGTTGCTTGTAAATGTAAATAGCATCATGCACATCACAAAATATTATGATGCCCATACTATCTCTTGTACGTTGTCATTCCCGATGACCAAGAACTAATGATTGCACAGCTTGTGATTTTAAAAGACTCAAATGGCTGAATGATCTTTAAATGACATTTGATGCAAAGCCTATATCACACACTTACTGGATAGTTTTCAATTTAATTTAATCAGGGAAAGCGACGAAGTGTAGCTTGTATCCAAATATGATATGTTCGTCTATTTTTAGGACAGATTATGGAGAAAAAATCGTCACAACGGTTTGGCCGGGGTTGATTTGAATAGAAATTTTGGCACTGCTTTCGGAAGTAAGTTATGCTATACTATATCTTCGTCATCATTACTGTCATAAATTTGAGTATTCATAATAAATTAATCGCATAATGACGTAGAAAGCTTGTAATCCTATAAACGTATAACCACTCTTTTTTAGTTCTGTGTCATAAAAGATGGCTAGACAACAAAACACGACTATGTAGCATTAGTGGGTTATACTGAAATAAATGTTGGTAAAATTATTTACCTAATTACCAAGCAATGAACAGAATAATAATCAGTGGACCAACAGCTTTAGTATGTCCCGAATAATTAAATGACAATTCGGGACGCACATTGTTTAGAATTTTTTGTTTTAAGATTGAAAATATGAAAGTCAAATTAAAATGAACACTTTTTATACACGTGGTTACTACCTACTGTTTTTCATTTTGACAGCTATTGGTGTAAGCTTAAATAAGAAGTCTGATATATACTGTGGCTCATCGGCATTCTCAGAGAAGGAAACCCAGGCTGTCTCGAATTTCATTCGTTCAAAAAGTGAAAACTTGGAGTACTACATAGGTTTTCATTCATACGGCCAATATATGATAATACCGTACGCTCACATGAGGAATCACGTTGGAAATTTTGAGGAAGTGGTATGTTTTTTTCTCTCTCTTCAGAATTATACTAAAAAAATAATAAAGTCATTCTGAACCTGATTCTAAAACTCTCTGATGACTTTACTATCAATGAAAAAGGATAGAATTTTTAGGTACCTATTATGTACTAATTGTACCATGACCAATGATCACTTAACCTACCACCCTATGACCACACTAGAGAGTACCTAATCTATGCTTTGACCACATGGTCGTATCAAGATGTTGAATAGCCTATCTCATATCAGCCTTTAATTCTCCATTGATGAACCTTTCCTCTAAGGGGGATTTTGCCAGTAGTTGCCACGTTTGGCAATTGGGTTGACAAACGCAGTTAAGCATTGGTGATGTTTTAAGAGGGATGCTGCTGTCCATCCCTCGAACATTGAATTCTATTCGTCGCTTCTTACGACACCCACAGGATAGGAAGGTGTACCCCAATTTATGCCGTGACTACACGGTGAATAGCCTATAAACTTTTTTAATAAATAATCTAACGAATTTAAAAAAAATCAAATTTGACTAATAGTTTCAGAGATTAGCAAATTCAATCAAACAAATTCATCCGCTTTATATAATACGGATGTTTTGAATTTATACATAAGACGAGATAGTGTATATATATAGCTCTCTCTGATCTTCTTCATATAAAAAAATCGCGTGACATGATTTTCGTTCACGCTAATATCTGAAACCGCTCAATCGATTTTAATGAAATTTTATTAATACGAGTATGTATTTTTGATCCAAATTGAAAGTTGGAAAGAAATGTTTTTATCCCAATATGAAGAAATAGTTCTGGTTGATGGCACTAGGAGACAAAATAAAGTTTACCGGAACTGCTAATAATATACATATAAGCGACGAAATGGGAGTCGGTGGATGCAGGAGGCTCAAGACCATTCCTTATGGCAGTCTATGGGGAAGGTCTATGTTGAGCAGTGAATAGAAAATGATTGAGATGATGATGATGAAGCATAAAATATTTCATTTTACAGAAATTAATGGGAGAGGAAGCAGCACGAAAGATATATCAGAAATATGGAACCACTTATACAGTGGGTACAGCGTATGATACCGTAGGTGAGAGTTTAGAGGATTCCAAAATTGATACATTTATGTAATCGAGATTTTGGATTTATTAAGGTTCTGTTCCAGAATCGTATCCAGAATCGTATCCAGAACCCTTCGTGCATGTCTTGACAACTACTGATGCTTTAAACTTCAAATTTAGAATTGTTTTTAATATTTTTATTATCATTATTGTATAAAATATAATCGAAAAAAAATATTAAAAATACTTGTCCATTTTCATTTAACTCTTAACTTGATATTTTTTTTATTTTCTTCTACTAAGAAGACCGAGAAGGGTAATCAAAACTTTAACTTTACAAAAACTTTCAGTTAAGTATTAATTTACTAGTTAAGTTTACTGATAATTTACTAATTATTAGTTAATAGGATCAAATGACGTTCCAATTGTACAATTTATATCAGGTTTTACTTTTATATAACTCGTAGTTTTCATCTTATTATAAAAAAAATATGTATTTAATATTGTTTATTAAATGTCATTATTTTGCAGGATATATGACATCAGGGGTCAGTGGATGTTGGGTCAAAGAAACTTTTGATGTACCGTAAGTGACTTATATGTATAGCCATCTGGCTTTATTACGTTTTGTTGTAATACACGTGTATATGTGCACAGGTTCATGCAAACGCATATGTGGACATATAAATATGTATACGCACAAACACATCCACGCACGCACGCACACATCAACATACACACACATGCACGCACGCACGCACGCATGCACGCACAAAGACAGAGAAAGAAAGAGACTGTGGTGATATAATGATAAATTATACATCGAAACAAAGATAATAAACAAAATTCATCTGAAAAAGGAGATATGTATGATCTCATATTAATCATATGAAATGTAAGTGAAATATTAACTGCTCCAAATAATTTTTGAACTTAGTGTAGCGAGCGCACGTTCTTAAGATGGATTTAGTATAAGATTTCAACTGTGGTTCTCGGGGAAAGCAATTTTATGAATACTATCACTGACATACTAAATTCAATTAATCCTGTATATGGTCTGTATAATTAAAATTAAACGTTATCAATCGATAAGCGATAATATAAAGTACCACTGTATAATATTCATTGTGGACAGAACGTACTCTGTCCAACATAAACACATATAGCTATGCGTACAAATATTTTATATTAGCTGAATTCCACGGCTTGGCCTGCATGAATCAGTACATAAAGTACTATATGTACTAAGTAAGGATATAATTTACCTGTGTACCATTTAAATTCTTTAGAAGTTTAAAAGTTTTTAGGTGAAAAAGTAACAAATACCCATTTTAAAAAAATCTATCACTTCTATAACATTAAATGAATCGTACGGGAATCAAACACAACACTATAAAACTTGATGTTACTGAATAAATCGGGGAGGAGGGGATTATTAGCAATGGGAACTTTGCGACCCTATTGCTGGCAATATAAATATACCTCATCAGATGGACTTCCATGCAGTCTCCCCTGAATTTTTTTTTTATACAACTTAGAATGGCAAACAAGCTGACGGTCTACCTGATTATAGTAAACATGAGCAATACCATGGACATAACAGAGTATACTGTTTCACCCATGATACCCCCCATGCGTTGCCATTCCTGAGGACTCAGGTGTTATACCTCTACACCCAGTAAATTCACGCCATATCCCACCCTCCAAACCGAAACACAGCTATGCAAACACAACTGCTTCACGGTTGAAACACGAATGGGACAGAGGTACCCAAGCGATTGACTTTTGTACAAAGTCTCCCTTTGGGTAAATTTTCGTGTTAACCATGATAAATTCGCCACAAGCACCAGTTGACCTTAACTGATTTACTTTCTCACCAAGTATTCCTCATTAGTGCTCCATCAGTACATATTGGCGCAAGCTGAGTTATCATTCTATTATCATTCATAAAAAAACACTACTTAACTTAAAACACTGCAAAAGTCATCAAATTGTATCAAACATCAAACGATTTGTTACAGATACGTTATTACTTTCGAATTACGTGATGACGGACAAGAAGGCTTTGCTTTATCGCCCAATCAAATTATACCAACATGCACTGAGACAATGGATGGAGTCATATCCTTGCTGAAGCCCAGAACAAATAAATATACCAAACTGTATATATCCCAATCGCGAAGTACTAAGCATAAGCTTTTAAAGATCGTTGTTTTGTTATGGAATTTTCTATTATTTATTATATTAAATTGTTATTGATTTGTATGAATAATAAAATCATTGCTCTTGTTGCCGAAATATTACTGTGCATATTTTATATAATTTTTGCACATTTTTAATGTGTAAAAACTCGTTTTATTTATTCAATAATAACATACGTATCTATGTTAAGATACATTATGCGAGTAAGTATATAGAACACTGATAAAAACGAGTCAGCTAATTTGACAATTAGCTGATAAAAAGCTGACTCATTTTGAGACTCGATGGTCTATCTATATATTCTAAGCTTTGGACATATTGTTCAAGATTGGGCAGTATAGAAGTTTTAATAAAAAGTAAATTTTTCGTACTTGCAATATTAGAACCATAGATATATACCGTTTAACCGTTAGAAGGTCAAACATTCAAATCTTGTTAACGGATAAGACTACACGCACCTTTGTATTTATTTTAATTTATTATAAAACTTGAGGCACGGACAAGTATTTTATTTTCGTCAAGAACTTCTCAGCTTCAATATAGAAAAAACTCTTCAATATAGCGCAAACAATATAGAAATTTATCCCATAGAGAGATCTTTTACAGTTAAATTTTAGAAGCAGAAAGGAATCGATGAAATATGAGTTATAAAGTTGGGAGTTTCAGGTGATGAAAAGTAAACACTACCGGTGTACCAAAGTAAGTATGACAGTTGATTATGAAGTTAGATAAATTAGTCTATTGTGACAAATTCACTAGAAATTAACCACAATGAGAGGAAATAAAATAAAGGAATCAGTAAGAGAGAGAGAAACTAAATAGGGTACATTGCCATAGCAAGAAGGCTGCTGGTCTTTGTTGCTAAAATTTTCCATCCCAGCGAATGAGGACATCTTCTAGGAAGGCACGTTAGCAGCCTTCGTATATAATGAGGGTAGCATAGGAATGGCGGCGCACGAGATAGACCATGATCCTAAGATCCGAGATTCATGATTACAATATATTGTACTATTCCAATTTTTACGCATCTACTTTTATGCATATTTTCCATCAAGTAGATTATCAGCTTGCCATAACTAGTTGCATGAACAAATCTGATAAAAGTTCTAACACCCAAACAAGCAATTGCATTAATAAAGAATACATTTATTATCAAAAACCTTTATTCTCACATGTAGCTACAACCGACCGTACCCTAACCGTACAATAAACGTATAAATGATGTTATCAAAGGTGGTAATATGACTAATGATCCGTGTAATCGTTTAGACGTCACGACAAATCGTCATTTCACGTGATCTGATGCCATTTATTTTGGTGCTGCCAACCAGTTTAACATAAACTGTTACCCTCCCTCGACGATATTAAAAACGGACAAAACGAGGGTTGTGCTCAGCATTTTCGCGTATCATTATATTTTGGACAACATGTTGTAGTTGTTACGATATGGACATTGCTTAGATAGTTGATGAGTGATGGTGGACTTTAACGCGATAGTGAGAGAGTCGATTTCAGTTTGCGAGAATGTTAATTGTAGTCCAGTTTTTAGGGCGTTGTATCCTCTTTTATTATGGGAATTAATTGCTTACTCCCGTTTGTTGAACTGCATGAGTCTTAATTTCATTGGATTTTTTATTTCTCTTAATATTTTGATGGAACTGTTACGATTGTGTTATATGCATGTCTGTACATGTCACTTTTAAATTACTTGAAAAGACGAAGAAGTACAGAAAGAAGAGGAAAAATACTTTAAAATTGTTTTTTACAATAAAACAGAATTCAATTGTAACAAAACAAGTTCTTTTGATTTAGAAACTAAATTACTGCACCAATTTTGATTAAATTTCTATAAGAACAATCTAAAAGAATGTCTCTTCAGAATAAAAAAAAATATTCTAAGCTATTTATAACCGACGGAGTTATAAGGTAACGAACATAAAAATATGACGAATTGAATCTCCTAATTTTTTTAATTCGATTGAAAAAAGAAAAAAATAAAAGACCAAAACAAAAGTAAATACATAAGACTATGTAGATATCTGTAACATTATCAATACATTGACGCCCTACTGCAAAATATTGATTTTTCACCATAAATGGAAGGTGTAGTTCACTATTACCACCCTTTTTTTATGCAAAAATGGAATGGCAAGCTAACGGCCCACCTGATGGAAAATGATAACCGTCGCCTATAGACAGTACCATGGACATAACAGAGTATACTGTTTCGCCTATCATATCCTCATACGTTGCCATTTCTGAGGACTCAGGTGTTATTCCTTTATAACCTGTAAATTTACTGCCATATCTAACCCTTTAAACTGAAACACAGCCATGCAAACACAACTACTTCACGATAAAAACACGAATGGGAGAGAGGTGGACACCTCTCTGGTGACTTTTGTACAAAGTCTTCCTCTGGTAAACGCTGGCTAAATGGCGTGGTATACTGTATTAGGCATTTGTCCGAGTTTTCCTTCTTATACCTTGATACATTATATTTCCTTAGAAATCTCCTGCGGTATTTTAAAATGAGAAGAATAGGTGGTACTTAGTCATAAAATCTGTATTACGTCATATGGAACTCATTCGTGGAACATTACTAGGTTATTATATACCGTATACACACACACACACACACACACACACACACACACACACACATACACACACACACAAAAGTACATAATTTTATCAATGTGACTATTATATTAATGAACATAGTAAAGAGATTGCATAAGCACTACATCGGCTCGTTAGAGTTAACAGCCGCCGCTTGAGAATAGGTAGGCGAAATTTAAAGATACAGCACAATTCTTGCCAACACCCGAGTGCTACTTCACAATCTCCACTGTCTTTGTCCGCTGAGAATGCTCGAACACAATAATTATTCGGTTATTATAGTTATTCTTAAAGTATTTAAAATTCATTTAACTTTTATTGGTAGAGAACGAGAAAATTTTCGAACTATAAACACAGAAACGTGTAGTTCCAAAAACTTGAAAATTTGTATATAGATTTTTAAGTATTCATCTACTAAGCAATGTGTTTTCGAAATGGGTCCATATAGAAATTGGAACTATAAAAATAAAAATAAATAACTCACAAAATATTGTGTGTGAGTGTCCGCATCTGTATGTGTGTAAGTATACGCGCATATATGTCTGTGTAAGTGTACACGCGTATGTGTTGCGTGTATGTACGTGTATGTGCACGTGTATGTGTATGTGTGCGTGGGTCCGTGCGCATTTGCTGTTCGTAATCAATATATTACTGTCCCACTACTGGGTATGGGTTTCAATTCACAGGGGGCATAGCTGTACTGATCAGGTGGCTCGATAAATGTTCTTTTTTTTCTTATGCACTACTATATTGTGTTTTATTTCTATAGTATATACTAGCGACCTGCCCTGGCTTCGCACAGGTGCAATACTGATACTAAATAGCGCCGCATTATTTTCCCTCCGACATTATTTTAACCTATCTCATAGAATTCAGCCTGCGTTCGCAATGTAAGCGCAAAAAAATGTGTTTATGTACGACATCACATTAGAAACCTCCAAATTTATCAGTGTTTCTCTACAATATTACGCATGTATTATACATATAAACCTTCCTCTTGAATTACTCTATCTATTAAAAAAAAACCGCTTCAAAATCCGTTGCGTAGTTTTAAAGATTTAAGCATAATTTGGGACGGAAGGACAGCGACAGCGACTTTGTTTTATACTATGTAATGATAATCAAATCTTTTGACCAATACTTATAACAACTAATAATAATCGCCTAAGATAAAATAGTGCCCCAAATAGTACGTGTCTGTCAAATTTCATACAAATTTATTAAGCTATTAAAGCGCTGAGACCAAAGGAACGAGCAAACAAATTTATAATATTGACTAAGGATTTTCCTTCTGCTGCACAATGTATGTACTGTAAGTAAACTTTTTAATACACAATGAGATGCTCAAATTGCCCATTGTTTCCTCGAAGTGGTCCCTGGCTTTCCGCCAAGCCGGGATTAATTAATTAGGACACCGGGACACTTCCACCGTCTTAGAAACCTTAAGTAGGTTAATTTTTAAGTGCATTAGAAGGTTATTTTTATGTATTTGTTTTAGATCGCTTTTGCTCTTAGAAGTTGAGGTAAGATGTGGTAATTTATACTTAAATATTTATTTCTAAAGAGAAAAATATTAAATTTAGTTTTTTTTTAGAGGCGGATATGAGTTTTAGTTTTGCGAATTAGTTAAATAGAAACTGAGAAAAAAAAACATTACAGTAAAATTTCTTTAATTTTGAAGTCTGTTGTAATTATGCGACGAAAGTGATATTTCATGAAGTCACATTTCATGAGATTACAAAGCCCTTGGACTACTGTTGATTCTTACGCTGTGATAATATTATGTATCAGTATGAATCAAATAATTTCATAATTTTACTAATTATGCTACGTGGTTGATCGAAGATTGGCTGATTTGAAGGTTAATTAAAAGTTGATTCGAAGATGAAATTCTATACATTATTTATTTATTTATTTATAGGATTACCAACATAAGATACAGCTAAACATTTCAATACAATACACTGGTAGATTAAATATAACTGTTCTTACATTTATAGGCAACCACAGCATGCCTTGTGTTTGACAAACATTAAAATAGAATTAAATTATTAAATGTCATTAAATAAGTAAAGATATTAACATGATATCAATAATATGAACAATTATCATGTTTTATATGCCATGCCACGGTTCTAAAAATGGCTTATGACTTGCAAATGGTTAATTAATCATATTGATAGAAATATTGTACGCCTAAATAATTAAAAATTAATATATCTTTTTTTTTATTTATTAAATGCAGTCGGTCAATTAAGCTTTCTTTCTTTCTTTTGTTCTTTCCAATTAACTAGACTGACTTAAATACATTTTTGTGTGACTACACAACATTTTTTTTTTATTTCAATGTAAATCAAAATTATTACATGACAAATCTATATAAAAATAAGCAATTATATGTAAAAGTAAATTAAATATAATCTAACATCGAAATTTCGTATAAACACACGTATAATAGCTAACTAGCGATAAAA